CCCCAAAACCCCAAAACCCCAAAACCCCGTATAGTCTAATGAATAAAAATATTATCAATATTCAATAAATATATTCTAATCATTAATCAATCTATTTAATCTCCTCGTCTTTATTCTCTAATTTTTCGAAAGGTTTTTCATATCTCTCTTCTAAGAAATTTAAGAGATCTTTGAAATCAAGTTCTTATATATTTTCATCTAAGAATGTTATGCTTGATTTTAATTTCAAATAACTATCAAATGAGTTAATACCGATTAAAGGAACATATTGCATTATATTGACCCAGAATTCTAGATCTTCATTTAATTTATCTTATTGTTGTTCTACTAATTACCCTAGAATCATAATATAAGTCTAACCAGAAAAATCTTTTTATCTCAAAATTTTCTATACACTCTCCCTTATTTCTTTATTATTGAACTAGTCCTTAACTAAAGGTAATAAATAGGGTAATGATTTAGCCTATGCTTTTGGAAATAATTCATCTATAAGTTTCTATATCTTAAACTTAAAATCCTTTGTCAGTAGATCTCCTATTTTATTGTGAATAGTACAATACAACTTAGCTAGTTCTTCATTAGCCATATCTCCTAGATTACTATTTACATAGGATTCAATCATAGGCACTATTTCTGGCTTAATTGAAGTCAGTTTACTAGATATGTTTATTAGGATGATGATTTCCTCTGGCATAAATTCATTGATATTTAATTCTAGAAACTTCATCAGATGTTCAATGAGACTGTCATTTTGAGTCACCGTCAGGATATCAAAGACATCTTTTGGCTTGAATTTGTTAATGTTTTTCAATCTGTCTTCAATATTTTAAGCATTAATCTCTGATCTAAGTATATTATGGCTAAGTAGTTAGTAATACATTTCAGCTAAATTAGATACTTTAATCTCTGTCTTTTCATCTTTGATATCTTCATCTATTTGATCAATTAAATCTAGTAACATCTTGTTAGATATGGCTTTAGTCTGCTATGTTAATCTCTGCAGTTTTAAGAAAGCAATTAATGTCATGATTTTTTCATTAGGACTCAATTCTGCTAACTTATTCATTATCAGATACTCGAAGGTCTTAATGAAACTGGTACTCAATGAAATTTTCTTTTGATTGCATAAGTAAGCATAGCTGCTTATGACCTTACCAATGATTGATGGTTCCAAACTATGAGCTCTTCTCAGAGTCAGGATTTCAAGATGCTTGAAAAATTTAGCGTCAACTGATCTTAGCAATACCAAGGAAGTGAAAACATATGATAATTCCTCATTTGAAGCATTTGAGAGTTTATGTCTTAGATACTCAAGCAGCTTTGAGGATATGTCTTGATGGTCTAAAAATGCAGCATTTCTAAGCAACTACACTAAAGCTGTTGCGTCTGTTTTGTTTGATAAATTCATAGCCGCATATTTTAAACTATTCTCAAATCTTCCTCTTTGATTCAATAGATCATCTTTCTCCTCAATCTTGACACTCCTATCAATTTATTATTTTTAGTTGAAAGTATTTGGAGAATCGTATAGTGGAGCGTTATTATCAATTGAGTTGGATGATATTGTAGAAAACCTGCGAAAGTTATTAGTGAGAGCTGATTAAACAAGCCATTCTGACTATATCTTTGCTAATAGTTTGTTCATTTTAAATTCTTATATAATCTAAATTTATCAACTATTGATAATGAAGGGGTTTTGGGGTTTTGGGGTTTTGGGG